CTTAATTTCCGTTTCTGATTTATGTAATTTTCACTATTTCTATGAACGCAAATTTCAAATGCATAGAACCTGCATACGTGGACAAATTTATGTCTACAGTTTGTTTATGGTATATGTTAGCAAAATTGCTACATGAATATTTTCTCTTTTTCGAGGATTAACTGATTTTTTTAAATGAAAAAAAAATCGATGCAATAAAAATAGGTGGTGCTTAACTTTTGGCGGACTGTATATATAGGGTTTCAACTGCTTCAAACAAAATTAACCTTAGACTGTGTTCGATGTCCCTTTTGGGTTTTCATGATCTCAAATGTTTCATATTTTGGGCTTTTTAAACTTTAAGTCTTGACTAACGGATGAAGATTAATCCAATAACATGTGTTGTACTTACAGAAATAGGTATAATACGTTGTTTACGGCAATTCTTTTGTTCTGAATGTAAAAAGATATTTTTTTATCATTTATAAAAATAATACAATTTCGTCAGGAAGAATGTTGCTCTATATCAGCAGACTAATTACCGTTTTTATGAAGTTGAGGCGAACTATACGTAATTGGGCAGTTTTTCGGATTTCAGCAGTTCGGCGAGATAGAATAGAGTAAGCATTTCATAAAAGCCCGAAATACCTCCCTATTACGTTTACTTCACCTTAAAGACCAAGACGTAGTTTTAAGCGTACACTATGTTGGAATCCGTGAAAAACGCGAAATAGGACGTTATAATTTAACGTTTTTTTTTCATGGCTAGAAACAACGTCATAGAGCTTTTATGTCACTACCAAGTTGCGTTAGTTGATGCGCATCAACAATAGGCTGTTTGGTCTTTAAGGGCATACGATACAGTTACAGGGGAAGTAATGACGTTGCTAACGTAAATTGTTATTTTCCCGACGTCAAATTGTGACTTATCGGGAAAAGATGCAGTTTTCGACTGATTTTTATCATTCAAACTGATTTAACTTGAAAACGAGTTCATGGACCCTTCTTTTTTTAAAATGACATTTGGTTTGATTACGTATGAAGATTATGTGTACCAATTTTCATGAAAAAGTCAATAGTGCAATTATTTTAAATTTGATAAATATACAGCAAAAAATGACGTTTTTTTCTACATTCATGAACATTTGATAAATATGAGTTATTTGTAAAAATAAAATGTACAAATTTATAGAACATTCATATAAAACAGAAATTACAAATAATTTGACAAAAAGCAGATTGTGTTTATCTTTTAAAACAAAAAAGTTATGTATTTCTGTCGAAAGGAAAAATACGTCCACAAATCCAAATTTGGAGAAAATATCTGAAATTTCAACCTCAATTTTACTCAAAAAGTAGCACATGATGGTATATTTTTTATTGCATATTTGATTTAATCAGGTAAAAAATAGCCTATATGCAAATTTTCATCAAAATTTCATTACGGGATCAAAACTGTATCGTATGCCCTTAAGCGTATTTTCTGAACTGATTCTTTTGTTTATTCCATATGATTATTTTGTAGGTTTTTTTATCTGTCTGAATATGATTTTGAATAATTCAGCGTATTCCCTTGACGAAAATGTTGAAAATTGATATTCACCGCACAAAATGTCACATGATATCCAAAGAAAGGGTTAAATTTGGTATTGACAGCTAAAAATCACGTACGTGCAACACATTAAGGTTAACACTAATAGATAATTACCGAGCTAAACGTTATGTGGTTTTAGATAGTTTACATTTTAATTATGGTAAAACGTTTGAAGTACATATGGCTTTGGTATATAATTGTAATTAAATTTTTTTTTCCTTTTGTTTAAAACACTTTTAAAAATTTTCAGTCTTGTTATTCATCAGTTTTGAAGGCACTTGATTTTCTTTGTATCTTTTTGTAATATAAATTGTTAATATTAATTAAACTTAAGATTATTTTTCTGTAATACTGATGGTTCATAGTAATGCTCATAACGTCATCATGAGTGGATATATTGGACATGCTCGTGAACCGAAAACATTACGAGAGAAATCATCCCCTGACATGCCCCACAATGTAAAGGATTTATTGCAAGTGTAATCGAAGGATAATAAACAAACAATACATCAAGTTCGAAATAAACTAGACTGGTACCTGGCCGTTATTGACAAATTTAACAATACCGAAGCCATACTGAATATTTGACGGAGGGGACCAACCTAGAGATAAACCTACCTAGACAACCTTACTTTTCGAGCAAAGACAAAAAAGAGATAGAAGATATCAAAGGGACAATCCATAATCATAAGTCATAGAAAAACCGACAATACCATGTTAAAAAACATAATACGAACCCCACGAACACTGGTGGTGTTCAAGAAAGGAAAGCAGATCCTGCTCCGCATGTGGGACCCGTCATGTTTTTCATTAAAGGAACAAATTCGGCGATTATTCTCATCCTGTGGTTTCACAATTGAGGGAAAGAGAAAGGAGATATTTGCATGACCGGAATCTAAAAGCAGCCGGAAACTTGTTTATATTAGTGAAATTTAGAAGATAGGCGATTGCTGAGCCTAGGTCTCTTTATTGTAAAGTTTATCTTTTCGAAAGGTTTGACAGTTACGAAAATATCTGCGTAATACTTGACCGCTGGTTTTCCATCTGTTGTACTTTATAAATACAATCCCGTCATCGTGCCCTCGTGGATGACTTATCGCCGAATACGAATTATTGTATGCGTACTAAATTGTCATTAGCAGATATTCGAGTTGCTCCGGATTCGTTCTACACGCCGGAATAAAATAACATTTACCGTGTTTATTTTTGAATTAATAACGTTCATATTTGTGCCCTACATTTAGCTTTGTAACACATGAGTTGAGAAGTAAGAATTAAACAGCATCAATAATTTGTACTGCATATTGGAATAATCAATATCAATCGCTTTCTATCACAACCATTTCAATTTTTACTTCAACATAACTTATTTTGCTGTACTATATTAGATTCTACGGCGGGGAATCATCTTTGACTTGATTTTTACTTCAGTGTCATGTTTTTGTTATCGCTCATATATTGCCAGTCCTTCTTTCTGCGAAACTTCATAATTATGTTTATTTCAAAAGAATTAGGGCCAATGTCCCCTTAATTGGTTTCGCGTAAGGCCATTTTCTCAAAGTGTTGTTAAGGTCATTTTTTTAAAGTCTTTTCCAGCTTTACTTAAATTCACAAAAGCATAGCTCCATGTGTATACTTAGATGTTCTAACAATATGTATACTTATTTCTAAACTGGAAACTGAAAACCGCAATTTTGAATCTTTTTCATCTTGTCATAATTTTCAGTTTTTATCCTTATAGATTTTCACCAGACTCAAGCTAGCGAACAATAAGGTGTATCAAGCAAGCGAACAATAAGCCAACGGAAGTAAACCTCAATATTGCCTTTCGAATACACATTAATTCATTTTGGTAAGAAATGTCCTCAGATGCAAAATTTAAATTAAAACATGTAAAATTTGCAATTTTGTATATAAAAATGCCTTTTACAGCATGTAGCGCTGAATAACATTTGGACTAAAAGAAATATGCAGAATTGTTTAAGTATTTTCAATATATGATGTAGACACTTTTATATTCCAGTTCCAATAGGATTTGACAATTTAAGATTTTGACCGTGTGAGTAGAACACATACAGGAGAAATTGGCCCTACTTCTTTAATAGGGGTTTACAATATATGGTCTATGTAATGTTATTGGTTTAGTCAAGATGCATCTACCAATCATAAACCGCAATGGTTGACTTGTGCATGGAAATATGGTCATCCCTGGACACTTTCCGTTTCGGCAGTAAAGCCTTGGTGAAGCCGAGCTTCCGTTTGGCTTTTCGGGATGTATAAATACGCAGCTACGTCTGGTCTAAATGGAGACGTAAAAGCGAAGCCTCGTGTAGGGAGAGTGCCACACTCTCTGCACGTCAACAAACCCTTGAAATAACACTCTAATGGGTCCGTAGATGACCTGTTTCAAGGCGAAATTTCTGTCCCTATCCAACATACCCCATTTCCCAATGGCAGTCCGAAGTTCCCGCCTTTCATCCCGGTCGGCTTAACTTGCAGATTCTACCTTTTGTATTCATTGCTAGTTGTTAATTTGTTTAAATCATCATTTTGTCTTATAGAATTTCATTGTAGGAGCAGCATATAAGAATCAATGAGGGTTGGGGTGTCCATTGGTTGGAACCAAATTTTTTTCAGAAATACTTTGTAAATTCCGGCAAAAATTTATCATGAAAACAAAAAATCCTCTTTTATAAATAAAACCAATCTGAACCTTTGTTTTTTTGTTCGTTTGTCTTGTGTCTTTTTGTTCGTAAATTTTTGTGCATCGTGCCGATGATGAGTTGAGCCCTTTCCAACTTAATTTCATAGTTTGTTCTTATGTTGTGTTGTACCACTGGCTCAGGTTATGGGAGGATTGACCGCTCACAAACATGTTCAACCCTGCCACATTCTGTCATATTTGTTTCTCGTTTGAATTGTTTTACATTTTGTCATGTCGTCATGTCGGGGCATTTTATTGATTACTATACAGATTGGGGTTTGCTCATTGTCGAAGATGACCTACAGTTGCTTACATCTACGTCATTTTGGTACCTGGTTGGTACCAAATCTCCTTGTTTTATATTGAGAACACTTTTTCAAAAATTTCCTGATCAGCGCCTGAAGCGCTGAGCTAGCCTTTATGAGTATCAAAGTTTAACATCGACAATTGCAGGAGTAAATGTTGTCCATATTTTGTTTTCTCTTTGCTATGTGTGGAACTTTGTAAATTTTCATTTTATTTTTGGCTTTGGAACTGTTTATCTTTCATTAATCCAGGATTTGTTTTATCCCCGTGTTGATGTGTTCTTATTTTTTTTATGTATAACGCAATATGAAACAGCCCATAAACTATCCATGGAATTCCCCTCCCAAATCCCGGAAACATCTGAAATGTGTATCTACGAAACAACCTGCGTTTGAAATAAAAATACACACCACAAAATACAAGTATAATAAATTAATTCTATTCTATTATAAATTGGCACTTTGTGATAAATATCATTTGAATATATACAAATATATGAAGTGATAATAATATGAATCAGACAATATTTAGGACCATTGATTGTCAATAAAATACATGAATAAAAATTTGATAAAACAATAATATAAAAGGGGTTAACAAATGCATAGATATTTCTGAAAGAACTGCAAGTTAAGTTATTTTCTGAAAAAAAAAACCAGTACATTATTATAGTTTTTGGTTTTTGAACCCCCATCCCTTCATTTTAGGAGCAACTGACTGAACTATATCAGACCAAATATGTAGTAATAATGTTGAAATGTTGATAAAAACTTAAATAGAAAACCCGTATTACCGACCCGGTAAAATGCGATGTGATGGTACATAACCATCATTGTTGCCGCTCAATCTGTCAACTAGAGCAAATACCAACACAGCTGTCAAAAATGCAAAAATAATGGCAAAAATAACCAACTTTTCTGCACGGCCAGCGTACTTTTGTGCCTTGTCTATATTACCACGCACTATACCAGCATCAAATTCTTTCTTTATATTAAAGGCAAAGTATACAGCTGGAATTCCTAGAGGAAAGTATACAATTATAGCAATAATACTTAAAATTTTCAATCGTAGTATCCGCTCTTTACGTAACGGTTTCTGTTTCTTTTTATAAGTTTGTGTGTAATCGCAACATTGTTCTGTTTGTATGACTTTTGACCCGTCTAGTTTCTTTATAACAACTTGTTCTTGTACTACACTGCTGTGACCACCAGTACTGTACATAACCGGATATGACGTAGTGTCTGAACCATCACCGTGTTCTATTGAATTTACCCGTGAGTCGTCATCAGTAGAACGTTGTCCTTTGTTGTTTAATGTTGAAGAAGTTTGATTGTTATATTCTATGTTGTCATGGTCATCGCTTACAAAACCAGGATTAATATGTTCAAGTGAGGTTGGTTCTTTAAACTGAAATGATCCCAAATGTGGCTGAATATTCCCTCCGTCATCCTTGTCGTCGAGTGTTGGCACGTCATGGTTAAAATTTGTTGCCATGCTGTAAGATACAAATGACATTATTTTCATAGTCCAACACTGATAAATACCATTTAAAGTTCATCTTAACATAACTAAATTGTACTATTGTCTATTCAACCTGATGGTAACTAAACTTATCTATTGTCTAAAATTGATCGAGATATGTATTTATCAAGCCAACTTAAGCTAAGGTCGCTAGAACATTGAAACACGCTCAATCATTGTTCGAAAACTAAGGATTTTCTACCCCATCAATAGATTACCTGAGTTGTATTTTGCAAAACCCGTTTTGGAATTGTGTGTCCTCAATAACTTCGACTTCGTACTTGAATTGGCCTTTTAACTTTTTTGATTCCAGAGTCAATGCCGAGTCGATTGCAGAAGAAACGCGCGTGTGGCGTACAACATTGTAAGCGTTGTATCTTTGCTCAGTTTTTTTTTTTGCCCAATGAAATGAGTAGTTAGATTTCACAACACGGCATATATATATATTAGATAATACATTTCAACGGTGTCTTTAATGTATGGTATGTCAACAAAAATAAATTTGTAAGACTTTTTTTTCAGTGTTCAACAATATCTAAAATTATCGCTGAAGTGGACAAAAGTCGACGGACAACTACTTAGTAACAATCCGTTTTGCTGAATTATATTATATATTGATATGAAGCTAATCATACGATCGACCGAGAGAATATTCCATAATTAGGCCACTGCAACATAAAGGGCATTGAAACCCTGGTAAGACTCGGTGTTATTGTTTTATTTAGACAAAGATGTCTTTCTGTTATTTATGGCGTTGAGTTGCTGTCTCAATGAAGTTTTAATCACAAGTTTAACATTCCCTGTACAAACTCATCATTTTTGTCGAGCCTTCGACTTTTGTCGAAAAAGCGAGACATAGCGATCCTACATTCCGTCGGCGTCGTCGTCGTTGTCGTCGGCGGTGTCCACAAATATTCACTCTGTGGTTAAAGTTTTTGAAATTTTAACAACTTTCTTAAACTATCCTGGATTTCTACCAAACTTGGACAGAAGCTTGTTTATGATCATAAGATAATATCCAAAAGTAAATTTTGTAAAAAAAAAAAATCCATTTTTTCCGTATTTTACTTATAAATGGACTCAGTTTTTTCTGCCAGGAAACATTACATTCACTCTGTGGTTAAAGTTTTTGAAATTTTAATAACTTTCTTAAACTATCCTGGATTTCTACCAAACTTGAAAAGAAGCTTCTTAATGATCATAAGATAGTATCCAGAAGTAAATTTTGTAAAAAAAATAATCATTTTTTCAGTATTTTACTTATAAATGGACTTAGTTTTTCTGCCAGTTAACATTACATTCACTCTGTAGTTAAAGTTTTTAAAATTTTAACAACTTTCTTAAACTATCCTGGATTTCAACCAAACTTGGACAGAAGCTTGCTTATGATCATAAGATAATATCCAAAAGTAAATTTAAAAAAAAAAAAAATCCATTTTTTCCGTATATTACTTATAAATGGACTTAGTTTTTCTGCCAGGAAACATTACATTCACTCTGTGGTTAAAGTTTTTAAAATTTTAAACAACTTTCTTAAACTATCTTGAATTTGTACCAAACTTGGACAGAAGCTTGTTTATGATTAAAAGCTAGTATCTAGAAGGAAATTTTGTTAAAATTTTGTTCCATTTTTTCCGTATTTTACTTATAAATGGACTTAGTTTTTCTTCCAGTTAACATCACATACAGTCTGCAGTTTAAGTTTTTTAAACATTTATTAGATTCATAATCTATCTGGATTTTTACCAAACTTGGACAGAAGCTACTTACAATCAAAAGATAGTATAGAGAGGAATATTTTTATTAATTTTTTTCCTCATTTTTGTTGAGCCTGAGATTAACAGCAAAAGTAGGCGAGACACTGGGTTCCGCGGAACCCTTACAATTTTTTTTTATACAAATGCAACCGATTTCATGACAGTAATATCACTCCGTTAATTGTCATTCCCTGGCTGTCCGTGTGTCATACACATTCATCTCTGTAATGGGTGTTCAGTGTCCGATAAGTAAACGAGGAGAATAAGACTGTTTCCATCCGACATGTCAAGTTTCTTAATTATACCACATTTTCTATTAGAATAAATCGAGGACAGCGAAAAGGGTTAGACCTAAATCACATCTAGTATGGTAGTTATTATAGGATAAAAAGATGGCTTATCATGAATAAAGTCATGAAATTAAATAGAAGAAGATGTACAAAAAGAGAAGAGACAATTTTTTTTTTGTAATTTTTCCCTCTTCACACCTTTTCCCGTCTCTTTATCCCTATAACCCATATCCCTTTTTTTGGTCCCAGGTATCCCAAATCCTAAAAAGAGTGACATTCCCCTCAAAGAAGACCCACCTGGAAAAAGAAAACAAAATTCTAGCTAAAATTTAAATTATGACTAAGAAAACCGTGAAGGTTATTGATTTTTGAACATGTGTCGATATCATATAGATTAACTTATGGGAAAGTTTCATGAAGGTATACAAATATAATTCACACTTACTTTATGATATATATTTCACGGTGTTTCCGGTTAGTACAAAAAGAAATCTACAAAAAGACATTTATCACGGTCTGAATGTTCATTGATAGAATTAAACCATAAATAAAATAACAACTGTTCACTCAGATGTGACCAGTATATACTACAGGAAAAAAACAACACTTACATGTATCACACGTAGAAAAGATTTAAACAATGTTATTATAACTTTATAGGAAGTCTTTTCGGGAAATTACAACTTAACGAAATGACTTTACGGAAAGAGTAAAGTTTGTAAATAAAATACAGATAGATATAAGATATATAGGTAAATTAAGAACTACAAGATCTGATAACACTTTACCTACCTGAGATTCATTCACCTGTCCAACAGATGGCGTTGTAATTGTCACTATGACGTAGAAATTAATCTTGGATTAGGAAACTTTAAAACGGAGATCCTGTACATAGTTCGAACAATAACAATAAATCTAAACGGATTACTAGTTATAAAAGCCAAAGTTTTTTTTTTTATAATATATGGAACATTTGAAATAAATATCAAGTTATAAGAGTTAAAGACAATAAAAAGAAAAGCAAATAGTACATTTTGTAGGATATTTTAAGTGAATTAGTACTGATCATGATTTGAAATACAAATATACTACTTAGTATCATTTTCCTCCCCGACTGAGGTATCACTAGCCTAGAAGTCAGAACTTCTATACATGTAAATGTTGATATGAATTTTCATTGATATGGTCATAATTATAAATTAAAATTGTTTACAAAACTTTGAATTTTTCGAGAAAAAAACTAAGGATTTTCTACCCGCCAGATTATACAAGCAAAACCTTTCGAAATTTTTGATTCTCAATGCTGTTCAACTGTGTACTTTATTTGGTCTTTATTTTAAAAACGTTTTTGTTTTGAGCGTCACTTGTGAGTCTTGTTGACGAAACGCTGGTCTGGCTTACACAATTTTGATTCTGGTATATATGACTATGATGAGTTTATTATAGATTTGTAACTACAGTAACTCATTGAAAGATTATCTGTGACTTGCATGTTGTAGAACCGTCAAACCTTTGCCTTATATAGTTATACCTTATCTGCTGTGAGCAGCTGACCTTACCATATACAGACCTTTATATTTCAGTCAACAACTTTTCCGTCAATTCCCAATGTATACTTAAATTTTATATCTTACCACCATATTCAATGCTTGCATATTTAAATTATTTGAACATCGTGCATTTGATAATTATATACCTCCTCTTCCGATGACTGATTCAAACAATTGAGTCAGTTGTTGGTAGTTTGTGTGTTCTGTAGTACTGTCCGATATTTTGGCAATTCATGTGATCGTTTTTATGTATAATTCACGGTCGAAGTGAAACGAAGATTCTCTGCGTTCGATTCACACGGACTACGGACTACCGTCATGAGGTACAAAGTGACACAAAAACTTGGAAAGATAAAGATCTTTAAATACATTAAGAGCTATCGGCGTAAAATGATAAGTCAAAACCTGAGAAAGTTGCAAATGAGAGGCGAAAGAAACAAAAGGGAAGTTCGTTTTTTTTTTCAGAGTGCTGCTTGTAGGTTATGAATAATGACTGCAAATCATGATTTAACATCCCATCAATAGTAGTACTTCCCCCGATATATTAAGCACTGATTGAATATACAACATTTGTTCGCCTATCTGAAATTAACTTGTTTCAGTTCTGAATATGCATGTGATGTTAGCAAATAGACTTTATGCAACAAACAGTCAGTCATATCTTTAACTGCCGAAACAACATTGTTGTTCCAAATTGAACAAACAAAATAAAGGACAACTTTGCCTCATGGAATTGAAGTAGTTATATACACAAATTTGCGAAAAAAAAGCTAATATAGAAGTAACTGTTACTGGACGAGTAAGTCCACCAGCAGCGATACCCACACAGTTGTAGTGTAAAGTTATGATAAAGACTCCTATGTACAGGAGACATATCTCCACCAAGTACTCCCGAACACAAAAGCTTGAAAAGCTAAATTGATGAAAAATTTTGAGCATTGAAACTTCCTTAAGTTTTTAGAAAAGAATTGACTCATGGAAAGATAATCGCCGAAGACTGATCAATTTTGCTACGTGTAAAAAATTTAAGGATTTGTTTAAAATGTGCGTGCTATTTCATTAGCTATTTATTATTGTGTCCTTCAGGAACGGACTATTTAAAACCATTATCAAATGTGTCGGATAATGTGAATATTGAGGTAAGACGTTACAAAACCTATACTTAATTTATGAAAGAATATTTGTAATTATTAATACTTACAATTTGCAGCGAATATAGAGTCAACATAAGGAAATAAAAGTTGTCTCTCTTCGTACAGAACATAGGGTAATACCGTCGTGAATTAGACTTCTTATCTATACATTACTTAAAATATTTACTAAATTCTTTCATAGATACAAAGATTTCTTTAGTAAATTTGGCTGTACCTGTAGAAATCTTATTAAAAACGGTATTTCACGGTAATATTGTACTAAAAGCACGGAAATCACTATGTGATCCGTGTAAACTCATCGAACCTTTAAACAAACTTATTAATTAGTAAAGGTTATCTTATTAATGTTGTAATAAGATCTTTGAAATCAATATTGTTTACATTGGCACTAACATCGATTTCGTCATCAACAAATTAAAACATAACTAAATTTGTATTCTTTTCGAATGTATTTTGGGATGTATAAATACACATCCACGTTTATTTTCTATTTAGAGATTGCTTTATCTATATATATAACATGATACATATTTATTATAATGTTAAATCCTAACGATCTTACTGACTGTCGAAACTTTTATTTTGGCATTGCACAAGTCATGTCTTCTTTGACTGTCCATGGCAATAAAACACTAAATCCCTTGGATATGTTTTAATTGATTTTAGTCTCTGGTGCATGATTTTTTATTGTTAATTGTTTTTGGCTTTTAAATAGCTTTCAGTAACTGCAAGTACTCTCAAATCGTACTTTCGTGTTAATTTGACCTGTTGACAAAATTTGTAATGCATTTCTGTTATTCAATGTTTAATTATTTTGTGTTATAACTCGTCTCACTATTTTTAATATATACTACCTTTGATAAGTATTTAGTTTGACGATAAATTTTCACTTCTGTTCTCGTACTCTGAACAACAAATTTATTAATTTTGTAAACAATGTTTACTTCCGTACTCCTAACAACAAAATTATTATATTTAAATTAACCCGTGTACGTTTTTTTATTTAACGTACTTTTGTCCAAGGTTAGAGTTGTCTTTTTGACACTGTTCCTACTTCTTTTTTATCACTACCTGTAACATGTGTAACGTCTATGTTATATAGGCACCTACGTTTTAATATTGTATTGATATTGCGTCATAGATCAAACTTATTCGTTCAGTTTATGTTTACTTGTTTTTTGTGCCCCACCTAGGGGCATTATGTTTTTCGGTCTGTGCGTCCGTTCGTTTCTAATCAACTTGAAACTTAGTACACATGTTCCCTATGATATGATCTTTATAATTTTAATGCCAAATTAGAGTTTTGATCCTAATTTCACAGTCCACTGAACATAGAAATTGATTGTTCGAGTGGGGCATCCGTGTACTATGGACACATTCTTGTTGTTTAAATGTCTTTTTGATCGAGTTCAGCCATTTCAATTGATATTTTATAGTGCGTCTTTTTATGTTGTAATGTTACACTAGTCTCAGGTTAGGGTGAAGGTTGGCGCCTGTTAAAACGTTTAAACCCGCTGCATTTTTATGCACCTGTCCTAAGTCAGGAGCATGTTGTTCAGTGGTTGTCGTTTGTTGGTGTGGTTCATAGGTGTTTATCGTTTCTCGTGTTTTACATAGATTAGACCGTTGGTCTTCCTGTTTGAATTGTTTTACACTAGTCATTTTGGGTCCTTTATACCTTGCTGTTCGGTGTGAGCTAAGGCTCTGTGTTGAAGGCCATACTTTGACCTATAATTGTTAACTTTTTATACATTATGACTTGGATGGAGAGTTGTCTCATTAGCACTTATATCACATCTTCTTATTTATGTATACCGTAAAAACATTGGGTACGTCAGATATATTAAGAATTCTCTTATAAGCTATAGACGTACAAGGTCTGGTATAAGAAATGTGAAACAACTAAAAAAAGAAACCAACGGCCTGGTTCATACTACAACATTGAACCAACAACAAATATGACAGACAGACTGAACCGACGACAACTACTGAAATACAGGTTCCTGGCTTGTGACTAAACCTTGAACAGTGGTGTAAGAACACAACATAAGATTACTACTTACCAATTTGTGTATGAATTACATTTGTTGAAAATTATATTCTATATCAAAGCATCACTGTCAAAGTCATATAAGATTCCAGGATAATAATTCAGTGTGCTCTAATCAAGACCCCGGGCTGGAATAAAAAATGTGGAATGGACACCTGGACATCGGTCTCTTGTATTACACAAAACTTAAAGGTTCTACCAGTAGCGAATCCATATTCGAAAAATTACCCCATCCATGTTCCGGCCCCCAAATAGTGCCAAGTTGACCCCCATTTGAAATAAAAAATAGTGAATGCACCCCTAGGGATACTACCCCAACATCATACCAAATATAAAGTTTCCATCATTTAAGGCTTGCAAGAAAATGGTCGGACAAATTAGGGTTAAGAAGAATAATAATAACTAGATTTGCCATTGCAAGCAATAGCGGATGTCACCCTTCCCCCATTGCCACTAGATTGCAGCCAGTTTTTAAGTTTTAAACAGTGAATGCACATATATGTAACACTCAGAAACGTGTCCTTCCCCCCAAACGTGTCCGATTCCCCCAAACGTGTCCACATGACGTCACTGAACTGCAAAACAAGTCTGAATGTAAAAGGGCGCCAAAACGTGTCATTTATATAAACCCCCAAACGTGCCCAATCTCCCAAACGTGTCCAATCCCCCAAACGTGTCCATATCAAGCTTTATTTTTTTTTCTTTTACTGGAACTATCATTCGTGTCCATATTATAAATACGTAGGTTATTTGGTTATTGCTTTTTCATTAACGTATACTCATTTTACTATTTCATTAAAAAATTGAAAAAAAATTACTTAAGGTCTTTTTTAAACCCGCAGTATAACCTGGGTAAAAGTGGGGCGTCCGTTCAACTATGTTCGATGTAAATGTAAGCAGCCATGCTCAGTTAATTTGTAGATATTAAATCAGATACCTCGTGTAGGGAAAATGTCACTATCTCTGCGCATTAAAACCTCTATAGCATTTCACTCTATCATGGTGCCATCAGTTGTATTTTGGAAGGCAACATTTTTTTTTTAAATTTCCGTAACGTTTATTTAAAACGGCTTCTATTACATAAAGGAGATTGAAGTAGTTTCTTACTGAAGTAAAAAAAAA